ATTTCATTTTCATGGTTGGTGTTAACACTTAAATCTCTCTTTAATTAGTTGCTAATTTTTGTTACTTAATTAATTTTTTTAATTATAAGTAAAAACAAATGGGTTTTTCTCTCTCTCATAATTAGTTTTTGAAGATAAGAAAAAAAATAAAATGAAGCATTTTGTTTTATATATGAAATTATTTTTATTTTTTGTTATTATTATGTGATGGTGGAAGACAAAAAATGAGAGGCCACGTGTCCGGTTTTGAAGACATAAAATATAGTTTCAATAGGGGCAATGAATCTCCAATGTTCTAATTTTGCTAAAAAAAAATAATTATTATATAAATTTTTTTAAAAAATAGTTCTTGTAATGTTTTTCTAGAAGCTTAAGTAATTGATGATGATTAATTCCACTAATAACTAATTTCGAGTTTTCAATAATTTCATTAAATATAAAGTTCATTTCTTAGCTTTTTAATCATGTTCTTTCGTAGTGGATCATTATTGTTTCAAATTCTTTAATAGAGTCAGGATCCCGATACCAGTTTCGAATGGGGAGAGATTTTTCTTTGTTAGCTAAACAGGGTCGGGATTATATTCTTCATTTCAGTCTCGACCCTTCGTGGGCATCTTTATACTCACTCGTTAACAAATATTTGTTCATATTTGTGAAATAATTCACCTTTTTTTCTTACGAAAACATTGAGGTTACTCTCTACCAATAGGGGGTCGGAGTTCAAATTAAAGAAATATCGACATATGATTACATATAATACCTAGATTAATTATGAAAAGAAATTAAAAATAAATAAAATAAAGTTGGCATGTGACACAATACCTAATCTTGATATAAGCTATTATTAAGCCAAGTTGAGGGAGAAATTAATATATGTTAACCAACCATATTAAATATGTATTTGATTAGAGCATCTAATATCATATTTGGTCTCACAAATGGTGAAATATGGATCATATTGGTTGATATTTTATAACATAAGATTCATTATTATAATGTTTATGTCGCCCCCACAATATAATAATGCAAATATCTCATGATTCCAAGCTTATTATTATACAATTATACCTAAGTTTTTAAGGTCCATTTTATTTTTATTTTTATTTTTTATTTTTTATTTTAAAAATAAACTTTTGAACACTATTTCCACCTAGATATTTATTTTGTTCGGTTAATTAATTTTTATTTAAAAACTAAATATTAGTTTTAAATTTTAATTAAGGAAGATTAATTAGATAATGGTTTTTATTATTATTTAAGTAAATAAATTTTTAGTTTAATAATATTGTTAATTATATAAATGAATATTTATTTTGGAAAAAGTCAAAGTATTGAATAGTCAACTTTTTAAATAAGAACTTTGTTAATGAAATGTCACATTTGCCCCTACTCTATTAATATTATTTAAAAAAAAAAACTAACCAAATCTTTTTTAATATTTTAAAAATTATAATATTATCCATTTTTTAATATTTTAAATAATTTTTTTTATAGTTGAAATTTATATAATAATTAAATTAAATAGAGGGAAAATGGAGGAAAACGATATTTAGTGAAACCACGATTTTGCAAGATTTGGTTGGCCACTCCCAATATTCCCTTCATCCAAATAACAAAGCTCAAAACTTGGTGTCAAAATCTCAGCCATACACGTGTCTCCAAATTTTAATTTAATTTATTTAAAAAATCCCAAAAAAAGTAAATATTTAATTTTGGACATGCAATTTAAATAAGGGATATAAAACGACGTCGTCTCATAATGGGAGATGAACATATTCACATGGTTGACAAAAACATACTTTTCACAAATTTTATTTTTACATTGCTTCCTTTTCAGAAATTTAAAGCACCCAACATGTTTTTTGAATTTTTGTATTTGTTTTTTTCTCTCGTGCTTGAATTCCGCTTCACTTTCTATTACTATCATCGTAGAAACGTGTCTAATTATTTTTTAACTTAACCCTGTTTTTGTTTACTATGTAGAACTCGGGAATTGTTTTTTTTAATAAATGAATATTCTAAACTGATAGTGGGATGCATACAAACACTCGGAGCTCTAATGTTTAATTTGGACCACTGAACTCAACCGAAAAAAATAGAATAAGACAAGACCATCAATCTAGTTCTTTACGAACCAAACAATTTCGATCACGACCTTCGTTATAATGAAAACCCCACGAGCGTAACCACGCGATAAAGAATATGGGACACCATCCTAACTTTCAAACTCCATTTTAACATGTTTTTATATATTCATTAAGTGTTTTTATTCTTTTCCGCTTTGTCCGTTTATAATATAGAATGATACCATACTTGTCAATTCAATAATACGACTTTTCTATCTTTATCGAGTTGTGTTAAATCGACTCATCTAAAGAAACAGTGTCTAATAAGCTATTATGTTCAATAAATTTTTTAATATTTCTCATAATTTAACTGTTCAAATTGGTAAAATAATAATATAATATACATTACATTATGTGACGTTTGGTCTTAATAAATAAATAAATAAATTTATGATGACGTAGGCTGTCAACTGTTATATATATTTTTAATTAAACTTCATTTATTTATTTAAAAGCATGTTTCATAATAATATAAAAGTTAGGGAGAGTTACTAAATTTAGGGGAAATGATCAAAGTCTTACCTCTTATAGAATCTTATTATTAATTTAAGCTATGATGCAATTTCATTATTCAATCATATAATATAATAGCAAAAAACTATAATTTTTATTAAAATAAGGACAATGGTCGCTCTTCACAAGGGGATGTTGTCCCTTTCATTTAGATTTAATTATATTTTAAAAAAACACATTACTTTATATATATAGAAATTAAATAATTATATATTTTCGTCCCTTTTTAAAAAATCATTTAAAATATGATAAATTGGTAAAATTGAATATAAAATATTATTTAATTTAATTTAAATTTTAAATAATATTACCATAAACCCTTTTTATACAAATAATAACAAAAAATAGTCACCAATGCATTACAAAATTAAAATGTTATTTTATGACATATTTTTCCATTATAAATAATGAAATTGCCCATTACAATGTATTAAAAAAATAAAAAATAAAAATTGAAGATGTGGTTCTAAAAAGAACACGAGAGCGCGTGAAATCAAGTTTTAAAAAAAATAATTAAATATGACTGGATCAGCATGCTGGATGGCACACCACTTGATGTCTAGTTCTGATACCATTTGTAATAGTTCAAGGTCATTCTTAGCAGATATTGTTCATTTTGGCTCATTAGGTATCGTTGTCAATCTCACGATTTTAAAACGCATATTTTAAAAACAGGTTTCCATATTCTTATAAAAAACGTTTTATTCTCTCCTCCAACCGATGTGAAATTTACTTTATAGGAACAGATTTTTACACCTTTATACATAACCCTTCAATCTCACAGAACAAAACAATAACAACAAGTAGAAATGATTGAGTTTAAGAAATTAATTTAAGGTTGTATTCATGGAAAGTGGGACCAAAAGACAAGATTAAGAGAAGTAATGAACATCTAATCACGTGTTTAATCATTGTTTTAATCTAATCATGATATTCGGTTGTGTCCGGTCTCCCAAAAACCAAATTATTTTATTTTTTATTAAAATAAGTTATAACATAATACATCCACTTTTTTTTTTTAATCTAAAAAATATATAAATATTAATTAAACTAGTACGGCCTCCACCTACTACCATTTAAATTATTATTATTATTGCAATTACAACCACAAATTATTATTATTATTATTTTATTTTTATTGTTAAATCCTATTTTCACTTATTTATGGTTAGATATTACATTTGAAGAGTTTAACGAGTCAAAATTAATTGATTAATTCCTATTCTTAAATTTATTTTATTTAACAAAAAAAAATTCAAAAAATAAAGATGAAAATAGGATTTTAATATATATATATATATATATATATATATATATATATATATATATATATATAATATTTTAGCTTATATTTTTTTGAATTTACACGTCCACAGGAAAGAAGTTTCTAGACTCATAAGGAATGTTTTGTTTCTTTCTCGACCCACGTGGAATCTCATACTAACATTTAGACTGAATTTACGTAACGAAATTGAGCTACAATCGTAATAAAAATGAGATTCTTTTAGAGAAAAACAATAATTCCACTCCATTTCATTCCCATGAATGCGACAAAAACATTTAAAAAAAATATCTCATCAAAGACAAAAACGTTAACTCAATCCTCGTTCTCACAAATAACGTCGAGCCAAAATCCAGGTTTGATAAGGCCAACAATCACGGATAAAACAAAAAATGCCAACTAACAATAAGCAAAACCCTAAATTGAACGTCGATCTTATCTCAATATCAGTCTTTAGTTCTTATTCTCACAAACATAATCCACAACAGTAAGAACTAAGATTAATCAATTTCGATCCAAATGTCAGTCTCTCGTTCTCACTCATATAATAAAATATTACCGTAGAAAATAATTACGAGAGCGAGAATCTACTTTTAATGCTAAATTCTTTGTCGTAAGACGTGGGTCACCCGAGTTGATTCGATTTATGAAAAAGGGTTGGTAAAGGTTTAAGGCAAACATGGGCTTAAAAGGATGATATGAAAGAATGATATGATTGAGTAAATTAGTGGGAGGAAAAAGGATACTTTTTGGAATAGGTGAGTGTGCAACTTGCCAATTTCGGACATTAAAATAATCAAACAAACGACAAAATATTAATAATCATGTTTTAATATATATATATATTTATTTATTTATTATTTAAAATTTTTAAAATATTAATGTTACTTTACAAAATTTACGCTATAGTAAAAAAGTGAATATTTTTATTAATTTAGTAAATATCGGAATTTTAAGGTTTATAAAATAATAAAATATATATTGTTTTCTTTTTTTTTTAATCAAAAATTTTATTTATTTATTTATTTATTTAATTTCTCTCGTGTTCTCTCTTCTTCTTCAAAGCAACGGCGGTCGCCGAGGCCACGCCACCGCCAGTAAAGCTTTCATCCTTCATCTCCGCCGGTGGAAACTTCCTTCGCCGGTTTAATTTCCTCAGTTTTACAAAGACTTTGGCCGGTAAATCTCCATCTCTGCCGGTTGCCCTGCTTCGCCTTAACCGTGCCGTCCAACGAATCGTTCCTAGTCTTGTTTGTTCAGCCGATCAGACGTCCGAACCAGGTTAGTCTCTGAACGCCGGAGCTCTACTACTCCGCCGTGAATATCCTTTTCCGGCCACCGTACTCGACGGACTCAAATCAAATCCGTACGTTTGCACTAGAAGAAGATGAAAATAAATAAATAAATAAATAAAATGCCATTTTACTACTTTAAAAAATTAAAAAATATATATCTGTTTTTTTTAATGTATAATTTTGGTGTTTATGTTTGGTTATCTTGTCTTGTCATATGTTTAAAAGCGGATAAAGTTGAGACAATGACGAGGAATATTTCACTTTAGAACGGCTAATCTCGAGGTATTTATGAATTTTAATTTCTATATTTTTAATTGCATTTTATCTAAAAATTAAAATTAATTTATTTGTTTCTATTATTATTATTTATTTTTAATTTAATTTAACGGATTCAAACTTCGGATCTCTTGAAACTGGCTCGATCGGGATATAAAACCAAATAAATAAAAACAAAAGAACATAATAATAATTAATTGCTAATTTTCCACATTATTGTAGATTCATGGGGAAAAAAGGCCCACCACTTTAATGTGCAATGACATCATAAGCCTTTGTCTACCAAACTCTTTAATTATTATTATTTTTAATAAAAATAATAATAATAATTAATTTATTATATATGATTAGGGTTATTAGACGTGAATCACTCGAGCTATCCAATCTAAATTATGTTTGGATTAATTTTGTCTATAATTTTCTTGTAAGAGTGTGGAAATCTCCCCTTAGTCTACACGTTTTAAAAACTTGAGAGAAAATTCAAAAGGGAAAACCCAAAGAGAACAATATCTGTTAGAGGTAAGCTTCGGGTTGTTACAAATGGTATTAGAGCCAACTATCGAGTGGTCTGCTAACGAGGACCTTGGCCTCCAAAGGAGTAAATAGTGATATCTCAAATCAATTCAAGAGGAGAACGAAACATTCCTTATAGGGGTGTGAAAACCTCTCCTTAGCAGATACGTTTTAAAATCTTGAGGACAAATCTAGATGGCTTCCATTATTACAAAATCTATGGTTCCTTTATTTTTTATATATATATATATATAAATAATAGTTTAGATATGATTTTAAAAATCACAAAAAAATAGAGATATGATTTTTAAAATTTTTAAAATACAATTTAGGCAATTCTAACATGAATTTTTCTTCCAAGATCAATAAATAAATAAATAAATATATATATATAAATTGAACATGATTAACTTCAGAGATATAATTTTAATTCATTCATGTACTCATTCTTTATTCGTAAAAGTCCCAACAAATTCTTAAAAATTATAAATTGTCGGTTAGAATATAATTTAAATATTAAGGAAAATATTTACATAAATTATTTATTTAAAAAGAGAAAATAAATGTGTTTGAAAATGTGAAATTATGGAGGCATGAGGACCACTACATTGACCATTTGAGACATTGCATTTATAAAGGTCTAATTTTTTTTTAAGATATGCTTTTAATAACACTTTATTATATAATATACTCAGTACATTATTGTAAAATAAAATTAGAAAAATAAAAGGGATTAAATTGATTTATTGTCCCCTAAAAAAAGAAGCTTTTAAGATTTGGTCATCCAATCATACATTAATCACTTTTTTTCACTGACACTCTCTTTTTGTTGTTTTCCACTTCCTTTTAATTATTTTTCTAAATAAATTACACTAATTCGTAAAGAACCATGAAATTGATAGTAATACATCATGGGTAAGAGTGAACAATATTTGCTAACAGTGAGTTTGAACTGTTACACGGCTTTTGATGACCTTGGTATTTCCATGCAACATGACATCATTATCCTCTTGTCTAAAAGTGAAAACTATATCCCATAGATCAACACGAATTGTAACAACCCAGATCCACCGCTAGCGGATATTGTCTTCTTTAGGCTTTCCCTTTCGAGCTTCCCTTCAAGGCTTTAAAACGCGCCGGCAAGGGGAAGGTTTCCACACCCTTATAAATAGTGGTTTGTTCTCCTCCCCAACCAATGTGGGACATCACAATCCCAACCACCCTTCGGGGCCTAGTATCCTCGCTGGCACTCTTTCCTTCCTCCAATCGATGTGAGACCGCCCCCAAATCCACCCCCCTTTGGGGCCTAGTGTCCTTACTAGCACATCGCCTCGTGTCTACCCCCCTTCGGAGAACAGTCAGAAGGCTGGCACATCGTCCAGTGTCTGGTTCTGATACCATTTGTAACGGCCTAGATCCACCGCTAGCAGATATTGTCCTCTTCCGGCTTTCCCTTCCGGGCTTCCCCTCAAAACTTTAAAACACGTCTACTAGGGGAAGGTTTCCACACCCTTATAAATGATGGTTTGTTCTCCTCCCCAACCAATGTGAGACATCACACGAGTTCTTTTAGCATGTTTTATTTTCACTCACATATTTCTTAGAAAAATCGTATTATTGCTGCAAATGTCATTCGTTCACACCCGTTCAGCTAAACTAAGCGAGGGAATCTTACAAACCGACCCTAGCTACCATTACCATATAAATATAATTTTTAAATAACGATAAGCTAACACGAACATTATTCAACTTCACTAAATGTGTTGGATGAGGACTATACACATTAGGGTTTTGGCTGACAATTTAATCAAATCATAAAGACCAAGTAAACTAGGGCGAAATTCTCTAGGAAAAAAATAACATTAAAGAAATGTACAGTCAGCATTTGTCTTTATTCAAAAAAAAGATGTGAGAGAAATGATTAAGAAGGCATTGAAAGCGACTGTCGGCAACTCCATAGCCTGACACGTGTCCCGACAACAACTACTTAATTGGTGCTGTGTCAAATTTCCTGTGGGGCCCTATTTATTTATTTATTTTGCATGGCCGGATCAAACTACGTCAATTTTCCAGCTCATTTTCTTTCCCATAATCTTTAAATATATATATATATATATATATTATATTTTCAAAATTTAGACAAGAATTCAAATATTTTATTAAAAATAATCAAACCTATAACATAAATTTAAAATAAATATACTTTTCATCGAGCTCTAAATATTTGTAATTTGACGTAAAATTAAACGTCGCGAGAGAGACCATGGGTAAAAATGTGTTTATATCTCTCAATGATGTAAAATTTTAAACTATATTTACTTTAATCTTGGACATTCAACCGTGAGGAAAGAAATACATATCAATTACCACTGGATTATACTTATTTTAACTCAATGTTTTATTTTCGATTAGGTTTTTTACCTCAACGAGTGAAAAAGTTTCATATTGGAAGAGGGTAAAACTCAAACCCGAGTACTGCATTGATTAAGGGAAATCTCGCTAAAATTTAGCTCTTTTGACATTTTAACCTCGATTCGAATTTCGAGTTTGATATCATCTAGAACCTAACCTAGAATAAAATATTAGAAACTAAATGACAAAATTTTTTATGTATGGTTTGTCCCAAATAAAACCCAATATTTCATCACGTGCTCAAATTGCCAAAAACAATTAACAAAGATTCTTGGTCGTAATTGTGACGATAATTTGTGTACTTTTGTCCATTATTTTAATTTTATAATATGATTTATGAACTAAATAAATATATAGTTAATAGCTGTTACAACAATAACTGTCATATTCCCATTTTAAAATACCTGTCATATAGTTACATTATTAAGATATTATATATTTTAAGCATAACGTCTTGAGATTTTTGTTTAGGTTCTAAAAAATTATTTTAAGCATTGTGTTGTTTTTTCCCCCTCTAGGTGGGATGTGGTTCGAGGACGATCAAGATGGAAGTCAGTAGACATGTAATGCTTAAGTAAATGAGAGGTACATGAATGAATTGAAACTATACTCGAATAAGAGCGATCCTGATGATATGAAGATTAAGAAGTGTTTTAAAAAACATTAGTTGTTACATATACTATCAATGTGTTATTTTTCAGTAGCTCAATCATAGAACTCTTAAATTAAGCTTGTTTGACTTAAAGTCAAGGTCATCATGTGTCAATTCTAGATTCTAAATGTGAGATCCCACCTCGATTGGAAACCTCTCCCTAATCAGCGTAGTTTAAAACCTTGACGGAAAACCCAGAAGGGAAAGCTCGAAAAGGACAATATATACTAACGGTGGGGTTAAGCTGTTACAAATGGCATCAGAGGCAGACATCGGGGCGGTGTGTCAGCGAGGACGTTGGCCCCCAAGGGGGTAGATTGTGAGATCTCACCTTGATTGGAAACCTCTCCCTAATAAGTGTAGTTTAAAACCTTTAGGGAAAACCCATAAGTGGAAGCCCAAAAAGGACAATATATATTAACTGTGTGGTTGAGCTGTTACAAATGGTATCAGAGCCAGACATCGGGCGGTGTGTCAGTGAGGACGTTAGTCCCCAAGTGAGTAGATTGTGAGATCCCACATTGATTGGAAGTTTCTCCCTAATAGACGCGCTTTTGAGAGGAAGCTCATAAGGGAAAATCCAAAGAGGATAATATCTGCTCGTGGTGGGCTTATGCTGTAACACTGAATTCTAGGGTATTGAGCGTTACAATTTTTTTTTCAATTTTAACTTATATTACCCGTCATATCATTACCAAATTTCCCATCCGTCTCTAGTGCTTGTCGATAAAAGTAATCAAGATCTTACACGAATCAAAACGATAGTCATAGCTCGAAGAAAAAACGAGAGAAAGTAGGGATTAAAAAAGAAAGTAGCCACCATGAACTTGAAATTTGATAATGATTTAACATAATAAACTTGTCATTAATTATGATTCTCCCTGAATTATTGTTTTGGAAATAAATATTCATTATTAAAGAAGAAGAATAAAGTGGAAAGGCTCAAATATTTCAAAGATGTGAATGTGAATTATTATTAATTAATGCCTTATTAATGGTGGGTGTTACGTTGTTCATGATGTCATTAGATGCCAAGAAATTAAATATTTTGAATTATATATTTTAAAAATAAATGGTATTTTTTAAAAAAAAATGAATAAAAGAACATTCTTTCCACTAATGGCACTTAATATGCTAATCTATAAATTTTTTTTTTGGAATAAATAAAATATTTCACCCTAAGTAATAAAATATAACCAACTTTGAGATAGACTTAGTGTAAAGATGGTTGTAGGTTTTAAAATATGCTCGGTTGAGTCGGTAAATTCAAAAGAGAGTCTCGTAGAGGGGTTTGCATAGGTTAGGTTAGGTTAGGTTAGGTTGATAGAAAATTCTGGACCAGCCCAAAATTTTGAGCTAGTTGGACGAGTCACCCGAATGGCTTGAATAGGGTTCACAACCCAGTTCAACCTTGTAGTTTTGAGTCGGATTGGGTCGGATTCTACTTGTCTATCCACAATATATGTTATATCAAACATTCATAAGTCACAATAGATCACTAACATCTGTTACAAACGTCAAATATTCTTAATTTTCATAATAATCTTAAAAGTATTGTAGGGTTAGACTGTGAACTCTATTTTTTGAATGGACCGAACGAATTTTGATAGTCGGAATTTTTCGGGTATAATCTCATACCTCTCTTATGACCAATGAAACGAACAAAAAAAAACATGATATCGATGAAATTTAATGAAAGATATGATAGCCACGTATAGAAACCGTTAAAAAAACATCTAGCTAAGTCAAAACCTACTATTTAGAATATTTAAAAAAATTCAAAAGTAATTTATTAAATATTTAAAAAAAATAAAAATTAAAAAATCCGATTAAGATTCTAAATATAAATTTGATTCGGTAATCGTTCTTTAACATATATTAATCGATATACTAAGCTTCTTTTATTTCAAAATTGTAAAGTCAAGTCTACGTTTTAAAATATTTAAACTTTATACAAATTTTTAATGTCCCACTTGTTACATTAATTTAAACCATATAAATTCATATCTTTTACCAAAAACATATTCTTAAAAAACATGTAAGCTTACACTACACAAGTTGGAGCTGAAGTATGAATTTGTCGGCCTTTTTGAGTATCAAACATTGATGTCTTTAATGTTTGAATAACAAAACCTCAATTATTAAAAAGATTGGTTTTTTTTCAAAGGGAGTAAAGAAAAAAGAGACAAAATGACAAAAAAAAAAAAAAAAAAAAAAAAGAAGTGAATAATGATGCATTTTTGGAATATCATTATCATTATCATTATATTATCACTATTGTCGAGAAAAAGTGGTGTCCTAAAAACATGCATGGATGGATTGATTGATTGTTACCATGTTGCTTTCCTTGATATTTTCAACCATTTCTATGTATATTTTAATATAAGATTATTTGTGGTTGGTTGCTTCGATTATATAATCATATACTAGTTTGATCGTGGTGTTTAAAGTTCTTCTTTTTTGGGTTCAACCAATGTGGGTTGAGATTTCGAATCTTTGATAACAACGTGGAGACTTAAGCTGCTGAGTTATACTCGTGTTGGCTATCGAGTTTGTAATACTGCATTCGTGACACTCGAGTAAATGAGAAGTACATGAATGAACTGAGATTAAAAGTAGGATGATTGAGAAAGACTGGAATGATTGAAGCAATTCTATGTTGGTTGGTGTTCGAGTAATAAGTAAGGATAAAACATGCTAAAATGATCTGTATTGATTTGTGTGGGACAGTCTTGTACAGTGATGATGTTGTGGGTGAATGCCAGATTCAAAACCCTAGTTTAAATCCTGGGTATGGATCGTTACAATATCTTATGTTGAATACTCTTAGAAGTAGTTCAAGACAAACAAATAACGTGGTTATACTGCATGTAACAGCTCAAGCTCACTACTAGCAAATATTGTCATCTTTGGGCTTTCCCTTCTAGGTTTCCCCTTAAAGTTTTAAAACGTGTATGCTAGGGAGACGTTTCCACACCCTTATAAGGAATGTTTCGTTTTCTCTCTAACCGACATGGGATCTCACAACTCACTCCCCTTCGAGACCCTAGCGTCCTCACTCGCACTCGTTTCCCCTCTCCAGTCGATGTGGGATCTCACAATCAACCACCTTTTGAGCCCAGCATCCTCACTAACACTCATTCCTCTCTCCCATCTATGTCGGGACAATCATGAGAATATCGGGACAATCATTGTCAATTATTTAGATATGATAAAAAGTGGATAAGGGCCTTGGTTAATGGATTAATTAGTCCAACAATTGGATCCTATTTTCCATCTCATTTAAACTAAACATTGGGCCCATTTATACATTAAAATCCAATCATTTTTGCCTCTATAATATATACCCTAAATATATATATATATATAGATATATTATATCACTATCTGTTGCCATTCGTACCCTGCAAATAATAATAATTATAATATTGACCCATAAAAAATTATTGTTCAAAAGGTACACGTCTGTTTTGGGGTTGAAAAAAAGTAAACAAAATAAATAGGGGCGAAAATGAAAGGTCCTATAAGTTTTGTTTTTGCAAGAAGTTTTCGCAATAAATTTAAAAAATGAGGTTGCAAAAACATTTTCGTGTAGGGTCGGAGAAAAGAAATTTTCAAATCGGATTGCCCTTAGTCCTGATGGAGGCTTGTTGACTGCCACCATTTAAGAAAGCGTTTGCTGTCCGTAGTTCTAATGGAGGCTTGTTAATGTGCCACTGTTTACGAAAACGTTTGCTGCCCTTAGTCCTGATAGAGGCTTGTTAATGTGCTACCGTTTACGAAAGTGTTTGTTGTCGTTGGTCCTGATGGAGGCTTGTTAACGTGCCACTATTTACGAAAGTGTTCAAGCAAGAATACTACTCGAGCATGAATTTACCATCCAATGTATACAAAAATTATGTAAAATTTAGACAGTAAACGTAAGAAAAAGAATATGTTATTCTTAAATTTTTTACCCATTTTTTTAGGGTAAAAGAAAATGGGTCATTGAATATTTAATTAAAAAAAAATGGAAATAAGACAAAAGAATATATATTAAAAATCCAATAAAATTTTATTTCCACCTTTTGACTTCAAAGTTTAAGGCACCCCCCAACTTGTAGGACACTGGCTGGGCTAAGGACAGGTGGCCCTGCAAAGGGTCCCACCAAGTCCATTACTGGACCAACCAAAATCGGCCACGTCGACTGGAGAATAAAATAATCATTTTTAATGAGAGCGACGTGTCCACTTTCCTCAGGGATTTGTCCGTACTCTATTCGGCCCATACTCCAAATCTAATCTCATTTTTTCTATTAATAAAAAAAGGACAAAATATATTTTTTGGTCATTTTTATTTTATTTTATTTTTATTAATATACCCTTTAATTTTAACTTGCACGAAGCATTTTCATGTCGGCGAATTCATGCCGGTTAGACGTGTCGACTAATGTTTGCAATCAATTTTCATTTTCTCTCTCTTCTACCTTTATTTAAATTTATAATTTTTTATTAATGTAAATTTTTGTGGTAAAAATTAAAATTTTGATGATGTCATAAGTAATTACCATAATATTTTTTTAGTTAAAGGAACGATGGAAACCATTTTAATTTTTTAAGGTTAAAAAATTAGAAATGAAACCTAATTAAAATATAATCTAAAATTATAAGAGTATTTTATATAATATATAGTTTTTTTAATCATGGTTATTGAGGTTGCTGGCTGCTCGTTGGCAGCAACGCTATCTGAGTACAAGCCGATATCGTTCATTCATTGATTACTCCGAAAAAGGGGGTCGGGAAAGACAGTCGACACGTAGTTAACCAGTATTTACAGCCATTAAATATAAAAAGGTCTTTTCATCCCTAAATTTTAGTTTAAAAAAAAGGAACAAAATAAATAAAAATGAGACTTTTTTTTTTTTATGCGTGGAGAGAGGTGATTGGTCGGTGATAAGTTTATATGTCAACGACAGGTAAACGAGGTGTTTTGTTGAAAGGCACGTGCTTGCCCCACTTCTTTTCCAAAATATCTTTTCATTACCATTTTAATTTTAATTATTCTATTATTATTTAATTAATTTTTTTACATCTAGAGATGTCTACTGGGTGGAGACGAATAAGTCTTTTTATTCCGGTTTCTACCATTTATTCCAATTTCCATCCCTGTAAAAAAATTCATTTACCTTCACAATGATTAGGAGTCGGAATTTACTGCATAATTGACTGAAATCATAAAAATTTTGCTACGTAAAATTATGTAATTTATCGGGTAGATTCGGTTTTAGCTTATTTCCGTGCATAGATCAATTAAAGATAAAGT